TCACCTTAACATGGCTTCAAATAATTCCCAGTCTGCTTTTTTCGGTTCTCCATCTGTTTCCTAGTTGCTCCTTTGGGTTATTTAGAATGATTAGAACTATTCAGGCATCGGCCCCTATATTATTGGTTTCCATTTTTAGAATTTTGACTTCCATGTCTTAAGGATTTTCCATGTCGCTTTTTGCCTTGTCTTTGTTGACGTGTGGATATTGGCATTGCTGGTTGAATCAACACATTTATTTTCTGCTTTTTTAACGCTTGATGGGACTTTGTTATTCTATAAACACATTTCTTTCTAAAACATGCATTACTCGAGTGACCATTGATTTCAAGATATGTGATACCGTTGTCGAGCGACTTCTTGATACATGGGATATAACTGTTACACTTCACTGGAAAATCTTTAAAAATGTAGTGTCACGATGACTTTTTATATGGATAATAGAATATTTTAAGCAAGATCTCCTTTTATACTAATACTGGCACTGTCAAAATACGATTTACCAACAGGAAGATAATGAGGATACAAACATTACATTCTTAGTCAACATGATATGTGTTTCCTCCTTCATAAATAAGTCAGAATCCACTTTGAAAAGAACTACTGTCGGCAACGTAGCGGATGGTTTTCCTATTACGTTGTACACAACCACATCATGGTAAAAAATGTCGAAGTGTTTCCGCCAGAATAGTAAACAGACTTGGAGAAAATGTGAAAAATATAATTTGAGACGACTAGCACACTACAGTGAGTTTTTTTTTCTTTCCCAGTACCATTTTGGATTCCAACTAGCAGCTGTATCGATTAAATCACGATGCTGATCGAAAGTTACCGGCGTGGATTTGCAGAGTACATGATAACCACCGTTTGTCTCAAACACAAATACGATTTTACGGTCACAATTGCATAATCGTGCTAAATAATCGATGACCTCATTAATGTTGATCGGCTGATTTGATGGCTGAATTCCAACAAGATCACCGTTATAATTTGTTACTTCGAGAATGAATTTTGTGACAAGATCAAATACTGGTTATCTGAGCCTGAATTTTGGAATTATTTCAGTCACTGAGGATTTATTTAAAAAATGCTCGGCAAATCTATCAAAATCAGAATCAGATAAAAAAATATATAAAATTTATTGAAATACTGAATAATAATTCCCTGCGCGTATATATCTGTTTTATAACCAGCACCAACAAGCAAACTCTCAATAGCGTCGTCTTTAGATGGGTACCAAACAACATTATTAAATGATTTTAGAAGCAGAGAATTGTACTCACGCAAATACCAGTAATTAATTTGTACAGCCTCACATAATTCGTCTTGCGAGGACGCTAATAACTCATTTCTGATTTTCTTGAGGTATTCAGGACCATAACCAAAGTCATGTAAAAAATATTTTTGTTTCAAAAATATATCATTATTGTATACATATTGGGGAGTCTGTATCAATGTTTCGTTATCATGGTCTATTTTTTCGTCATGTTTTTTTTTCGTCATCATTCCACTATGATACTATATACAAGCTATATGTTTAATTAAATATATGTTTAATTGAAAATTTCAGATATAATATATAAATCACGGATCAGACAAACAACACATGCACGTGGATTATTCAGGGAACAACCAGACTTTGCGGCAAAGGATGTCAAGGAGAATACTGCGCCCATCATAGATACATGCTAAATAAAGGCTCAGGCGGAACAAGACTACGTGTTTTATGTGGAAAAGGACTGCGAGGTAAATTGGATATCTGCACGAGATGCGGCGGAAATAATTACCGTACATTAGTGATTTGTTACAATAAATGAAATCTGAAATATGTGCCGCATAAGAAAGGACCTCCCACTGTTGAGGAGTTCATTGAATCACACAAAAAATTAAGGCCGGATTAACAAAATGGACATAATATTACTGTTTTGTTGAAAGTGCGATATCATTTATATATTATATGAAAATCACACTTTCCGCAAACGCAGATATAGGCATCGGATTTCAATAATTGATCTTCAATATTTTAATTTCACACAGATATTTTGCATTAATCATTGTATTATATTTTTTAAAATAAAATGTATATAGTATAAATATAATGCCCTTCAAGAAAGGAGAAAATATGTGTAAATATTTACCTCAGGGATCAACGGAATATTGCAACCAAACCTGCCGTGGAGACTACTGCCCATATCATAATGCTAGATTAAAGAATGGTTCTAGAGGACTTAACCCTTGTCTAAGCTGTGGAATTGGAATGCGTAGTAATCTTGGTTTATGTTATCAGTGTGGCGGTGAAAATTATCGTGCTATGGTTTATTATTACAAAACAAGATCTCCAGAGTGTAAAATAAGAAAGGCAGAACCACCATCAGTTATAGATTTATGAAAGTTTTGTAGATGCTAGAACCATACAGATAAACGAAAAAAAAATATTTTTTTTATTGTTTGTCGATAAACATCAAATTTAAATAATGACTCCTCTATCACTGATTTATTATGTAAACCAAATTAACAAAAACAAAACCCATAGCAGCAGAGAGGGTGAAGGACAACAATTGAGTCGCTTCACAAGTAAACAAAATCATGAAAATTACGTCAATTATATAACAAAACTGAGCTAACCTAAACGACTTATATTACCGGCTTTTAACCGTATGGAAATAGAAAAGTTAGAGACTTTGGTTTGGCATTATTGACCTATTTGTTTCAGCCAGTTGGAGGAACCTTTAGTTTTCGTAAATAAGGCCTCTATTTTTTGTAGGGTTCACCCTCCCTGCTGCTAATCACACACACACACACACACACACACACACACACACACACACACACACACACACACACACCAAACACACATCGATACATTTTATTTATTTTCCTGGATATTTGTCGACTTTGCAATACAAGCGTGTCGAGTTGGTTCGTCCTATAAATAAACTGCAATGTGGATTCAAAGGTTCGATGGTTATCACATCGTAGCCTTCGAAGATCGGTCAAATCTCTGTATCACTTTCGATCGTACCGTGTTTCATTTTTATACTACTTGTTATTGTTTACTTCCCAAACTCTGTCCTCATTTAGTGCATTTTGTCTTACAACTCTTCCATGGTTGACTCTGAGAAAGGATTTTTAAATCTCGTCGAAGACTACTGTAATTCATGTAGTAAATATCCGAACTATCCACAGATTAAGATTCAATCCTCATTTCTCAACCGTTTCTAGAGGTAGCATTAACCTGTCTTGACAATTGGAACATCGCTTGGCCATTTCCTTCAGACTGAGAAATAAACGTAAGATGTACTTGTTAGTCATTGAGAACTATATTCTGAGATGTACTTGGTCGTCATTGAGAACTATATTCTGAGATGTACTTGGTCGTCATTGAGAACTATATTCTGAGATGTACTTGGTCGTCATTGAGAACTATATTCTGAGATGTACTTGGTCATCATTGAGAACTATATTCTGAGATGTACTTGGTCGTCATTGAGAACTATATTCCGAGATGTACTTGGTCGTCATTGAGAACTATATGCTGAGAACAGTTTTCAAATGAAACAACATGGCGGTGGAAAGAGACACAAAGTCACAATCAGATTTTGCTGTTTTAACACAGGTGGTGCAAATAATTGTTAATATCAATCCTGTCCGTATACAGGTACTTCCTAATTCTCTGACTCAATAAAAAGAATCTGCAATCAAATACAGCAGTTGGAGGCTTGATTTTACTCATATAAAATTCTCACCCAATCAAATAATTTCTTCCAAGTCTGATTCTTAGTTGATACAGGTATGTCGTCTCTTCAACGAAAAATTGTGCTTACTTTAAATTACAATCAAGAGATATATTAGACTGACACTAACAAGTCATAAAAAGAAACAGAATTATCATACAATCTTTTTATACCTAATTTGTTTATCTTAAAATATATAATTGGTCTGCGAAGGGGTAATATCCAAATTGGATAGTACATCGCCAGATAGCAGAGTCGCTTATTTAGCGGCTATGTCGTAAATAATAACCTCACTTTTAATTGGTTGCGATTGAGAACATGATGGCGGAAGAAGAAAAAGTCACAGTCCGAATATCGTCGGCCTTTGCTGTCGTAAAATATGTGGCGCACTCCGCCAGAGGCGAATTACCAAACACATCAAATTAAAGTATATTCCTAAAAACCACATCCGAGGTTATTTCACAACATTACGGAAGTGTCCGAACAATTTTCGGATCGAAACCAAACACCACCACCATGGCGGAAAAAGAAAGGGTTGCATCACTAAAATACATGTCAAATCTTTGCTACATAAACCGCACTCATTTAAAGCAAAAAGAATTTCTGATGTGAAAACGAATCTCACGGAGCCTGTTGGGTATTACTGTAAAACATGCCTTTCAGCCATTTATTTGAAAATTGAAAGGACCAACTGCGATCTTGTTAAATTTATGACCACTGAGGTTTCAGATTGTCTTCCATCGACCTTGCCAAGAAAATGATCTATTGAGAATAGCCTACTGATGTTCATTTTTCTTCCAGAAAGACTACTTCTCTACACTTGTATTTTATAAAACTAGTTATGAAGATGACTCCAAGCTACCACAGTAATCTAAAATAATGATGGATGGGGTTCATTTAAAGTTTCATTCATACCTCCGTTGATCAAGCGGCAGATTTTTAAGTGGCTATTTTTATTGTTTTATCACTTAACATCTTGTACATTTTAAATCGATATGTTTTTCTTTAAAAACTCAACATTACATATTGGAAAGCATGTGTACGGTTTTACGGTATATTAGCACAACGCCAACTATATTGTGCGTCATTCCTAACTAATGTAAATTCCGCAAATTTCTCACCATGGCTAAAACACATGACTCAATTTGTTTTATGTGTACTTACTTTTGTTAGGATTTAATTTTTTTTATAGAAAATTATACTACGAGCAATTTTGTATTGTTCAATACAATCATGTATTATTGTACTAAAGATTGTAACCGCTCCGGTGGCCTAGTGGTTAAAGCGTCTGCCTCGGATATGGGAGGTCGTGGGTTCGAGTCATATCATAGACTTACAAAAATGGTACTAACAGCTGCCTCGCTTGGCGTTCAGCATTAAGAGATTAGTATTAGGACTGGTTGGCCTAGTGTCAGGATAGTGTTACTATGTGGGATATCATGCTACATGTCTGCATGATACCCCAGTGCTAGACATAGCTAAAAACTGCCACACTGCAGACATCGTAGCGATATGACTGAAAAATTGTTAAAGCTACGTAAAAAATCATGATCACAGCACATCACATCACTAAAGATTGAGCTTTTTTATATGAGAATTGTAAACTCACTCTCATTGCATAACACATTTCTTCTTATATTCCAAGTCAGCAGATTCAGTAGCAAGGTGTGTTGAGCAATCCAGTTTTTTTTTCTGTTGAATACATCAGTAAAAACAAAAATCGGGAGCCCCGAGTGGCCGAGTCGTTTAAAGCACCCACCCTTACGGATCACGGTCATCTCACCTCTGTTTGCGTGTGCTCGAGATTCTGATTCGGATTCGGCCAATGTGGGTATGTGACAAAGCTTACCAGCAGCTTCTCGTAGGTCTTTGGTTCTTCCCGGGGTTTTCCAGGGTTCTTCCTCCACCATTTATACTGGTCGCCATGTATAGCCTATCTTGTGCTGAAAAATATCGTTAAAGTCTAAAACAACAACAACAATCAGTAAAATTTGGATCACGGTCATCTCACCTCTGTTTGCGTGTGCTCGAGATTCTGATTCGGATTCGGCCAATGTGGGTATGTGACAAAGCTTACCAGCAGCTTCTCGTAGGTCTTTGGTTCTTCCCGGGGTTTTCCAGGGTTCTTCCTCCACCATTTATACTGGTCGCCATGTATAGCCTATCTTGTGCTGAAAAATATCGTTAAAGTCTAAAACAGCAACAACAATCAGTAAAATTTCAGTTGTTACATGGAAAAAGCTGTTGCAGCAGATTTTTATCTAATGACGTATACCAACCCAGAGATTAGCAGAAAATGGTATATAGCTCTTGATTTCTGGTGGAAGCAAAAGTGCACATTGGGCATGTACGTCATTATTTGGTTTTGAGGATATATCCCAGATCAGGTATAAAGCGATATTCGGCTTTGCGCAAATTAGTTCGTTTACCAGAACTCAACGGCACGTCTTCCTTGTAGGTAAGCAACTTTCTGTATTTGTAATGTTTTCTTTGTGACATAAGGATATTTAGTGTTCAAAATGTTAAGATGATGTGTTTTGGGTAAGAGTTTAATCTAAGATCGACACGTTTGCACATTTGCAACATTATGTATTTATTTTTCATTGTCTTTTTATTCTTTATTATAATTTTTTGAAAGTTGAATTTTGCAAAGAACTTATATTTGCTTGTAATTATACCATTGATTATTGCAAAAAAAAAGTTCTCTGCAAACTTCATGCTCATAAATAATTAATTTAGAAATAAAATATTCTTTAAGTAATAGAGTATTATATTTTCGTATTTTAGATCAAATTCAGTAAAATACTTTTCTATACAATGATCGTTGTATTAGTCTCAAGTACTGAAATTTTACACACTGGCTATAGTGAATTTATTATATATTTAATTATTTGCGTTAAATTCTACAAGACTTATATTACAGAATAATATCAAGTTGGAAACTTGAACGAACACTGTAATTTTATATATATATATATATATATATATATATATATATATATATATATATATATATATATATATATATATATATATATATATATATATATATATATATATATATATATATATATATTTCTTGTATCTAAAGTGTAAAGTTTATGTAGTGTTACGTATATGGAATTTAATTACTTGTGTGTTAGTTTCAATTTTTTTTATTATTTATATATTTAATTATTTGCGTTAAATTCTACAAGACTTAAAGGGGCCCCGAGTGGCCGAGTGGTCTAAAGCGCTGTCCGTTACGGATCACTGCCATCTCACCTCTGTCTGCGTAGGTTCGAGTCTAGGATTCGGCGAATGTGGATATGTGAGAAAGCTTGCCAGTAGCTTCTCGTGGGTTGGTGGTTCTTTCCGGTGATTTCCCGGTTTCTTCCTCCACCATTAATACTGGCCGCCATGAATAGCCTATCGTGTGCTGAAAAATGGCGTTAAGACCAACAACAACAACAACAACAAGACTTAAATTACAGAATTATATCAAGTTGGAAACTTGAACGAACACTGTAATTTTATATATATTTCTTGTATCTAAAGGGTAAAGTTTATGTAGTGTCACGTATATGGAATTTAATTACTTGTGTGTTAGTTTTAATTTTTTTTTATTTTTTTTTTATTTCATTACATGTTATTATAATGATAACTTTTTTCACTGGATTTGACACTTTTTCTGAAAAGTCAGTTCAGTTCTGTTTTGATCTGGTAAATAACCGGTATATTTCATGACCTTGATTCAGAACTCGTAAACATTTTTTTTTATTTCTTTCCTAGATTGAAAATCATTGGACATAATTAAGGTCATACTTGGCTTGCGTGTAAGTTTTAAGTAAAGAGTTTATTTTATTCAATCTTATATATTCGTTCAGTAGAATCGAATTCGTCCATGGTGGAAGTGATAAGTGACATGATGTTATAACGACTCAAGAAAGTAAGTGCTTACGCGACCCTATCAAGTGGACGTTCTGCGTTGTAAGTGGAGTTAAAGTGAAGTGTCATAGTGCTTTTCTAGTCAGTCGTAATTCATACATTCCGGCTCAAAGGTATTTATTTTCTTATTGCCAATTTGCTCTAAATTTGTCTATTTTTTCTTACTTAATAATTTATTTTCCATGGAGACTTTAATTAGTGCTCATCAGATTTCTTGGACAAAGACGTTTATTTGAAATTAGTCGGAATTCTAAAGCTGCAATATTATTTTTTTCGATTCAAAAGGGAACTGTTGACAAGACAGCACAAAACAGGTTATAGAAGACGTCATTGCCTTCCATCTTGGAACTTCATCAGGATTCGAACTTTGATTCAATTAGAACAGTTTAGTGATAGAACTTATATCTCTAAATTCTATGACTAAATTTTGGATTAGATTCACAAACCGTAAGTCCTTTTTCATATGTGTACCTTGTTTTCTAGGGAAATACATTTTTTATTAAATTGACAAAGCTTGTTTCATTTTTTTTTTGTTACTTTTGTACGAGCCTAGACACGTAACAGTAGATATATATCTAGAATGTAATTGTATATATCAATTATTTCAATAAAAGTAGTTCTTACACCAGAACTTAACGGCTCGTCTTTCGTACATCTCGTTCAGTCTTAGCTAATATGTAGGACTACACCGTTAAGAGTGACACCACTTTTTTAGAGAGCATAAACTTTCTCCTTCCCTCTAACCATAGGTGAATACCATTTCTTAAAGTTATGAGTAAAATTGTCTCATAATACATTCATACAAATAATAATTTTTACAATACTCTCAGTAGTAAAAGTTATATTTTTAATTAGTGTCGCTTATCTTCAGCAATATATTGGTTTTGCCCGGCATATGTTGTTGTTAATAATGTCGGTTTAACGCCATTTTTCAGTATATGATAGACTATACATATCGGCCGCATATCTACTGAAGGAAGAACCTGGAAAACAACGAGAAGGATCACCGACCCCACATAAAACTAATGACAATGTTTCTAACATACCCGCGTTAACTTGTATCTTAAACCAAATAACCACATCTAGCCCCTTGTGATATGTAATTTCATGAAATTATCATTTTATAAGGTACACTAACCCTGCAATATTCCGATGACTTTCATACACAACTAATGAGTATTCTCCCTTTGTATGGCAGATTATATTTCAAGATGTAAATGAATGTGTGTGTGTGTGTGTGTGTGTGTGTGTGTGTGTGTGTGTGTGTGTGTGTGTGTGTGTGTGTGTGTGTGTGAATTGTAGTAATGTGTTTTGAGCACCACAAAGACCTGGTCTTGGCAAGATTTGAACCTGTAATATTTTGGCATGCTAATCACTTAACCAATGCTGCTTCTGAGAGAGAGAGAGAGAGAGAGAGAGAGAGAGAGAGAGAGAGAGAGAGAGAGAGAGAGAGAGAGAGAGAGAGAGAGAGAGAGAGAGAGAGAGAGAGAGAGAGAGATTTTCAATGAATTTTATAATAGACAGATTAGGTCAACATAGTAAGCGTCAGACAATTATTCGCTGAGAAAAGAAAATGATTTTATTTTAGATAAGTTGTTCCCAGGATAAATGAAATTCAGGAATTCTTTCTTTGTTACTTTCGACCTTTCTTAACTAAATACTGGCAAACACTGAACTATATAATGTAACAAGAATTTCAGCAAAGTTCGTAAACTATCACCCTCAGTCAATTTAGCAGAGTTTAGACATCAGTAAATATTTTCATTGTTCTTTACTAACATTTTGTGTTGAGTATCGTGAACTCTGTCAAACTTCTGGGAAACAAATCTGAATCCACTTGAATGAAACTCAAGTATCATCTATGCAAGATAACAATAATACAATCAAATTTGACGAACTGCAAACCATAGAAATGTCGACAAAAGTTAAATGCACTTTTTCAACTCTACTAGGGTCTCTTGTTGTTTACAATGAAAATTCTAAATGCTTGTAATTGCAGATCCCCACGCTTTAGAACATTATCTTGTCTTAACATGTCACAAATCTGAATCACTATATATATATATTTATATATATATATATATATATATATATATATATATATATATATATATATATATATATATATATATATATATATATATAATATATATATATATATATATATATATATATATATATATATATATATATATATATATATATATATATATATATATATATATTAAACTAATTTTAAGGACCCTTGAATAAATTTTGTTCAAACTTTGTAAATGGAATCATAATACATAACATGTAAACGGGTTGATTTTGGGTACCAGTAGGTTACTTTCATCACCGCCCATTGTTCTGGCTCCTAATGGCGGGTGTGGTTGCGGCGGCTAAAGTGATATGCGATACAAAGGGT